CTCATAATATTAAAAAGGGGAAAAACTTAGATTAGTTATGTTCAGGAATAAACTCTTTAAACATTTATCTACTTAAAATGTGTTACTTTTAGAAGGTATGTTATTAACTTTCTATTTGTACTTGTATTAATTTATTTCATTGTATTATCTGTTGTATTTTCCAATTGATTTTGATATTAATCTTATCTATTTATATATTTTTTATATTCACATATTTTTTTTTTTTTTTTTTTCATTAAAACAAACGTTTATTAGCTCATTAAATATAATGAATTCATGTTGTTTTATTATATGCTTGTATGAATAATTACTTTTATTTCCTTTTAAAAATGAATTTCGAAGATAAAGCCGAAACGGTGAGTGAGGATAAAAAAATAGACGAAAGTGACGATAATTACTGGAGCTTTCATCTACACGCTCCTTTTTCTAGCCATCTACACCTGAGCCAGCAAGATTCGTCTTCCTTCCATCCTTACATTCTTCAGATTTATAGAGAAAACGCCGTCCTCTTTAACATATCCAGACCTTCTTCGACGGGGACTATACCACTACATTATCAGCTTTATTTGTTATCCCGAGCAATTTAAATGCATTCGTAATTGCTCATTCTCACCTCTTCTCTTGTAGATTCCGTACTCAGTTTTCTTATTTTTAGTTACGTTTGCACTGCTCTTTTATTTTCACAGCTTTAACTCTATAATGCTGTAACGCTACAATATGGATCCATTTTTGTGGTTTATACTATTTAATGTTATTCGTAAGTGACCAACCTATTGTAATAATTAAATATTATTGTATTACAGGCCTGAAGACGTTCCTGTAAGGCCGAAACTAGTCGCTCCTGTATTTATTTATAATAAAATTGATTTTAAGATTTTATTCTTCAATTGAAAAAAATTAGACCTTTACAGTGATTTTGTTTCATTTCCTGCATTAGACACTTATAAGACGGTATTCATTTTAAAAATAGTAAAATTAGAAAATTTTTTAGTTTTTTTTTTTAAATTAAATCGTTTGGACAATGTGTGTTTTTATAGGTAAATGATACGCCACTGAACAAGAAGGATGTTTACCTTCCCCCTTGTGCCCGCTTCCTCACTTCCTCTACAGATGTTGCTAACACAACAATCGCCTACAAACTCGTTTTCACGCTCCCTCTATTAGTAATTGCTCGGAGATTAAAACGCACCTGATATTTTGTTTGCTGCTGTCAGTGTCAGTTAATATTATTTTTGGAGTCACATTTTAGTGCTAAAGAATCAGTTAGCTCACTCGGACCAGTTGAAAGTTCCAAAATAACATCCACTCCAGGGACACAAATTCAGGATACGCAGAAGACTGCTGTTTTATTATAGGCGGTTGTCATATATTGTATTATCACAGCTTATTCACTACCAGCTGGTCATCTCACCAGCGGCACCTTTGTACTTTGAAAGTTAGCAGTCAGTAGGTCGGTATTCGCGTGCTGTAGAGAGTGGGATAGCGGGCGACCATACTAGCGACGATTCGCGTATCAGGCCCGTATTAAGTTGTTTTAACGGTAATCAGAGTACAAAAACGATAACAATTATAAATGTATATTACAAAATATTTATTAAAAACGACTTGCACATTAGCTTACATAACTACTAAGAAAATAGTTTTACCAAATTATTAATTTTCCATTTTTCTGGGCTACTCTAAAATTCCTATTGGCATATTTTAGCATATAATAATAAGTTTTGACTCGTGCATATAAGTTTAGCAAGTACGTATGCGGAAAATTTGTACAGGGGTGAATAAATGTGACAGTTTTAAAAATACTAACAATTGTGGAAACTAAGTTATCCATAACAGTCAATTTCTGTTATAAAATTTATAAAATTCGTATGTGGCATATATAGGCTACCGTACTGATCCAAATCTGAGTGTCTGTACGCTTTATAAAAAGAAAATAATGACGTTTCATCCACTTTAGTACTATTTGCATTTGCATATTTAACAATTTTTTTTTCTAAAATATCTGATTTTCTATAATCAGTATCTACGATTACATTTTCAATAGGTTCACACCGGTCTTCCACATTCTGTGGCATATCTGTCATTTGCAGTAAAACACGACTAGCATCGTCCTCGCAGTTTTCTGTACCTGAATGTAACAGATCTAAACAAAGTAATTTTCTGAACGCCCGTATAAACTGTATTGAGGTTGGATTTGCATTATTTCCACACTGTTGACGAACAGAACCAAAACAATTTTCAAGACCATCGTAATATGTTTGTCGAGAAATTTTATCTCACAATGCGGCAAATTTTTTCCATAAATACAAAATACCGTTAATAGTTATTTTCCAGCCCAATATGCACTTAAGTGTTTTTGTAACATTTACACCATCTCCGTTAAATACTTCCATATTATTGAAAAAAAGTAAGCACTCCTTCAAAAAGCAAGTTTGTTTTCTGTTGCCTACATACACTTCCTGATATTGTGTAGCTGCTGGGCCACCAGATGTATTTAAAATATCGAACAAATTGTTCATTCATAAAATCAAGTCCACTGTGGTAGTAGCTGCTGATGAAAGTGCGTGGAATCTAATGTATAAATATATACTGTGAGCTACAGAAGCACTAAAAACTTGAGCTGTTAATTTGACCTTTATTTTCTCAAAACTGCTGAGGAAAATGTGTGACTCAATAATTTTGGAACCCCTTGAATATTGTATGACTTATCGTATAAATAAAATTGTTTTACATGTTCCCATGAGGCTACTGAATCATTAATCTAAAAATTGTGTTTTATCAGGTTATTTCTCGAAGCTTTTAACAAATGAGGGATATCAAAGAGAAATACAATTTTTTCATTCCCAAACATGAAATATGGATGTTCCGGTGAAACATTCAGTAATTTTTCTAACTGCAAATTATTTGAGCCCATATCACATGCAACGCCTACTTCTTGGAGCCCTATGTTAGTAACCAGGGCTACCGAGAGCCAGGCCGGGCCCCAGGACAATTCTCTAGATCGGGCCCCATGACAAAAAAAGTTCTTTAAACAAAAACTTTTCCTCTCTACTTGAATTGTATTTTCTAAAAAAAAAGGTCCTCAAGCTAATACTTCTCCTCCTCTACTTAAATTGACTTTTCTACAAAAAAACCTTCCCAACCAAAACTTTTGTCATACGAGACTACAAGATAACAAGACAAAAAAATCCAGTTGCACGGGCCCTCCTTATACCGCTGCCGGGCCCCCATTTGAATCCGGGCCCCGGGAATTTGTCCCGGCTACCCCCCCCCTCTAGTCGGCCCTGTTAGTAACTTCTTGTATAACGTTTAAAATTAGTTGCTTTAATTGCAATCCAGGACACGTAGAATTAACTAGAAAATAGGCAAGTGGTTGTTTCTAATACGTACATATACCTCTAGCCATGACTACTGTGGCACCTAGTGCTGGTTTAAAAGATATGTGTTCACCTCCCATGCCTTCAAGACCATATACCCTATCTGAATTATATTATAAAACAAAGTTTATCTGATACCTCAAAACGTTCAGCTTTATCCTTTAAAGTTTTAAATAGTACACTATTTATACAAACAGAAAAATTAATGTTACTGTTAAACTTTTGTAAGGTGCAAACTCCAAGCAGACAAAAGTTATTTGACAGTTGCTGTTTTTATATAATTTTGGACCTAGAAAATATAGCGATATACAATATTGCTTAAATTTACTAGTGAATCGTCTGCCTTTCGGTTTCTTAACTATTTCTCCTACTTGTATATTAATAAAATACGCTATATCATTGGACGGAAAAAAATTGTTAGTTAGCTACTTATAATCGCAAAAAGTAACTTTATCAAGATAGGAGTCATTTTCTATTAAAAAACTTAAACTACAATTGTTCGTAGTGTTCCTGCACTTTAGCGCCGGACAACGATTGAAAATAAGCATTATCGCAATGTACCTAGCCTCGAAAATAAACTATTTACACACAACACGATAAAATACACTAATTGTAAGTTCGCTCCTGTACTCCTGTTTCCTACACTGCCACTTTCCGGCGGCAAGTGAAGCCCAGACAGCTGGCAATGACTCCGCCCATATGCGCAGCCGTCCCAACTCCAACGTTCGGTTTTATGGCGAGATGACCAGCTGGTAGTGAATAACCTGTGGTATTATCCGAGTTGCGCATAGGAATCAAAATGGCCGCGCCCTACGTTGGGCGTGTCGGACCTCTCTATTGAACCGTATAGTAATCAAAGTATGTGAAAGAGACAGATGACAGTGTGCAGTTTAGCCCACCCACTTTGATATTAAACTGGATGGCTATATGACATAAACCTTACTCCTAATTTCTAAGCCGACATGGGTGAAAAAAACGGTAATTTGACAGACAGACATTGGCACTTTAATATAATAGGTCGTAATTTGTAATCTTTGACATCTAGGCGATTTCATTCATTTAAATTTTCGACCGAATTCTATATCTCGGGAACCACAAAAGTAGGTATCATGATTTTGGTGTCATTTTGCTTCTCTATGTGTCCCTAGCTTATATCTGAGTCCGATAAGGTTTTGCCTTTCTCTATCCCGAGATCGCGGCACGGACAGACACACATTGGCACTTTAATATAGTAGTAAAATGTTTTTAATAAGATTCAGCTAATATGAAAAAAAAAAAAAAACGATAATGTCAAGTGTGTTTAAAAAGTAGTTTTAAATTATTTGTAATTTTTATCAGTAGTTCGACCTATTTATGTAAATTGTAGACTAATTTAACAAGCATTTTTTACGTCTGATGTTCACAACGACGTTTTTTATTTCTACAGGTAAAGTAGAAATTACATCGTTCTAGTTACTTGCACGAATATTGTTAATTACGAGGCAACGTTACCACATATCAAACTAGGAACGTAAAATTTTAAACTTAAAAAACCACGACTCAAGAAATTTTTCTCTCAATATCGGAAAAATAAAGATGTTCCTCAGCACTATATACTATTTACTCATGCATTTATTTACGTACCGTCAACTTTATGGTAGGAAGTAGGCGAATCTGGTAGGCTGTCTCCATCTGAAGCTAGGCTGTATGAGTGTTCACTTTTGATTGGTCTCGTTCCTAAAACAGCGTCCGTCATAAGTCTGTCGTGAAGAATAACACCTGGAATTTCTTTGCTTGGAATGTAGCTCCATTCTATCGTCATATCGCCCGATTGCATTTTTAATACGTCTTGCATCGCCTGAAATGAAAAAGAAGTAATTATTAGTTTTGCGACGTAATAAAAAAAATGGAGAAAACTGTTATTAGTATTTAGTAGAATACAAATGCGTAAAAATACCCAGTAGGTAGAGGAAGAAACTGGATACAAGCTTAGATCATGTTATACAATATAAATAAGAAAAGGGCATGAAAAAGTGGTAATCCAAGTAGCACCAAACTTCAAGGACGCTTTAAAACTGTAGAATAAAACTGCAATTAAAACCAATTAGTTTTAAAAGAAGAATTAAGGTTGTAATAAATACGTCTTCAGCATAAAAGGGCCCACTCTGAAATAGGTCAATAGAACCAAATAAAAAAAACCACCATAAAACTATATTACCTTGAACAACTGATTTTAAAGCTGCTGTGAGGACTCTTTTAAACCAAGTTTAAATACCTACATGTTAAACACACGCGGTTTTAAAGTGGTCTTAAAATTGTTAGTTACATGTATACTTTTAAAGATAATTATTTATCTTATTATTAAATATTTTTTTAAAACTATATACATCATTCTTCTAGCAAATAAAAGCAATTTATATTTGAAGATAATATGGCGACGCTGTAACCAAAAAGAATATTTATATGTACCTATATTCCTAAAAATATACCTATAAATTAATAAAAAGGTAGTGCTTTCGGAATGCCAGGGTAGAAATACAAAAGTAAAGTTCGCTTGCGATTTAAACGGTTTAGTCTTAATACGACTGTGATAAATGCCGCTTGGTTCTAATGTAAACCTAACCTTAAAATCTTCGTGTCGTATCAGTCGTTTGTGTTTTTAGAGAAATAATAATATATTGTTTTCAGTTTTTCTAATTATTGTATGTACACCACTGTTTGACATGATACAAAATACGGGGTTCATTTGGACCACGTAAGAAGAGGGGTTGAGTTTAGTTTTATTGTTTCTAACAAGAAGTACAGTTAGCCTTTACGATAACCAAATTGATTTAGTTAAGAGCGTTCCGTTTTAATATAGCTTTCTAATTACATTTAAGAAAGCCGTTATAAGGTAAAGTAATGAAATAGTTTTAAAAAGCAATATTTACTGACCAAATTGTCATAAGATCAAGAAGATTTAATAATAGGTTTTATTTAAAACTATAAAACAATCTAGAACATAATAAAAACAAATAATCTGCAAGTCCTTCAAAAAACTAAGTAGTTTTAAAGTTAATTGAAACTAAACCATTTTAAAACTACAACAAGACAAACTTTTAAGATTAATTCTTATAAACGAATCTTATTAGATACTTTAAAACCAGTATTAAAAGCTTTTAAGTGCCATCAGCATATCTACAAGGTAACTTTAAAATCAGTATCTTATTATTTACCACATTAAAACCATTTTAATAGTCTAACTAGTTGGTACGATTGTACCTCCAGCTACAATTTTGTGAAGTGTCATCTGCAAGGATTTAAAGTACCATATCGTAGACCGAGGCACGAGACAGAGGCAAGCGACCTCGTAAGACGACCGAAAACGGTCTCTTTACATCTAAATCACATGTAACTTTTAACGCAATTTTCGGAGCAGTTTTAGCTGCCTGTCGCAATCGTTTGCATCGGTCTCGCGTTCCCCAATTGTACCTTTAGTTTAAAACACCTGAAAACGAAACGTCAGACGATTCAAAGTTGTAATTTTTCAGTTGAAATTTACAATACACATATTTGATTAGATAACTCCCTTAATATTCCACGTTCGCTCAGTTTATTAAGCACTCAACGTGCAATTGAATGTGCATTTTGCAACGCGGTTCAATTCACGATGAATTCAATCTTTTTATTTTTTTTTTAACTTTGGAAAAAATATGAAAATTTCAAAAAGTACTTACTATTGATGTTTATTTATTGAAATACATTTTATTTATTATCACTTATTTTTTACAACTAAATCCTTACATATGAGACTTCCTGATGGTCCCGCCAACCACTTCAAAAAAATCCAGCTGAAGGTACGATCATAGTATTTTCGCGGCCATTAGCTCTTAAACTATGATCAGAATGATCAGTCCCGTTTTTTTATAGCCATACCTCATACCCGAAGGCATTGAAAATTCCAATTTGACAACTAAATAATATTTTTGGGTATTAAGGTTTGCGTCTGACACACAAGGAACCGCATTTTGCGCAAGAAAAAGATGGGTATAACTTTCCGCATAGTAGGTGTCCCGGGAAATGGCGGTCAATTTATCTATGTTGCGGTCCCTGGCAGTGAGTGAAGGAACTTAAAAATTTCTAACCATCGACGAATAGTTTTCTACTTCTGCTTTCAAGCCTCCGACCGACAATAAATGAAGCAATAAATCTGCCCGGCATTAGTATCGTTTTAGGAAGAAATTTGAAAAGGTTATTTCTAGTTTGTAAATTACCTTTCATGTCATAAAAAGTTTAAATTAAAGTATGCTAAAATAAAAATAAACCAGTTTAACTTTCTAAGCAAAAATTAAAAAATCTAAACAAGCGCGTAAAGAACACAAACTTTGGAATGCACCAACTTTGTATATGCATATTACATATGAAAATAAGAGGTCAATTTTTATGTTGATAAGTTTACTAAGTTTGTCCACGACTACGTAATAATAAATCAATATTCTACCTCCTAACTAAAAGCATATGGTATCCATATATCATTAGAGTGAATTATGATAATTCACGCTTTTGTAATTCTGGCAATTTCCGGTAGATAACTAAAGATACTTTTCATAACGATATTTTCTAGATCGAAAAATCAGAAATTCAAAAAATTGGAAATTCGGAAAATTGAAAAGTCGAAAAATCAAAAAATCGGAGTCAGAAATTCGAAAAATTGAAAAGTCGAAAAATCGCCTACGGCTCGGGACGCAAACGTCACCCTGCGTGAATAACGGCTACCACAAATTGCTCGTTTAATAATATACTATTATGTTTTGTAAGTTGTAACAGCTAATTTTTGTGGAATCAATGATACCATGCTTAAATAAAACGGGAAAACAGATAAAATATTTAATAGGTACAAAAAAACTATTAGAATTCCATCCAAAAAACAGTCAATGGACTCAAATAGTTTTACATAATATACCTACATACATAAAATTCAAAAACTCTAAGCAGTGCCACAACAAATACCATAAAATATTACCTCCCATACACCTTCCTTTCTTGATTGATATCTCTGTTTACCATATAGGGGTATACAATTTGTCATATAAAACATTGAATTTTTGTTGGATTAACCAGCATAAACTATTTTAGTCGTCTTCAACGAATTCGTGTCTATCCCTTTTAATATCCCTTATTTGAGCTGTCGTCTGATACCTGTTTACCTATTATTCAAATATTAGAGGACAATAGAGGATAATGGAAATTCCTAATATGATTTAATTCGGGGAATTAAATATTTTATTGTTCGTTATTAAATAACTTATTTTTTAATTGGCATAGTTCATTTTTCAATTCAACCAATAAAACTATTCTCTCTGTATATGTTCTGACATTAACAAGTATTGTAATAATTTATCCTTATATAGGTACAAGAAATGAGTAATAGTAGTTTGTGCAACAAGTGTGGATATGATGATGGCTATATCGCACGAAGACTAAATTTGAGCACGACGCCGTTAGCGGAGTGCTCCTCAATCGTCTGAGTGTGATATGGACAATCCACTCGAGTTTTACAGCATATTTTTTCTACGACCTAATGAAAATCTACAAATAATATTAAAAATTATGTTAGGTTATTAAGATAAATAATTTAAACTTTCACTAGTTTATAAAACAGAATAAACAAGAAAAAAGGCAAGTGCTCTGAACTCACCACCATCGAATCGAGGTGCTTAAAATTTGTTTCTTTAATACTCGTAAATAAATTGACTTTATATAGTTCTATTAAAATTAACGAAATATTTATAATTATAGACCAAACAAAAATAGAAATGCTATTATTATTTATCGAGTCTACACAAGAATAACTCATTTTATTGTATATTTAATCTCAATAACTAAAAATTTTTTTACTGACAATTAGTTTGACAGAAATGTTACTTATTTAAAATTTTAAAATAATAGTAGTTGGGTGATCAAAATAGGAACTGTGAGTGATGGATTTTATTTTTTGTAGTGTTCTTACTACCTAGAATAAATATGAAATATATTCGTTCAATTGAATGCAATACCATTCTTTTTCGTTTTGTACTCTATGCGTAGATACTCTAATTTCCTTGTGGGTATAGAAAAAATTATTTTCGTTTCCTAGACGTTTTGCAATTTCATGTTTTCTTTCACTATTATACTAACTTTCTTATATTATCAGCTTAAACTATAAATTTTTATTGATTATTATGTTTTTGGATTTGCATCCCAATTAGGCAAATAAATTAAAGATGTAGCCATTAATTTAAATGTAGATTCAGGATATCAATATACTAATGTTTCGCCAAATAGTATCTACTATACAGGGTGATCCATTAGTGTGAAAAAGTCCAATATCTCCGCCATTATTAGAGATGTAAAAAAATATTTTCACAGAAAGGTAGACAGCGTTAAACTACATATTTTAAAATTATTTTTGAATATACAGGGTGTTTAATAACTTCCCTCTAGAACCAAATTATGTTCTTTTTAATGGATCGCCCTGTATTTTATTTTATATTTGAATTGCCCTCGCTTTTCCCAATTTAAAAATATAAATTATTATTGGTTTAGACAGGATATTTTGCAGGATATAATCAGTTTTGTATGAAAATCGTATTGAATTCAATGACCTATATCATGCAAAAGAAACAATTGACAACCAATTTTTTTTCTACCACAATTTTTCGATCATGGTCAAATTTTATCCGGAGATACTACTTTTTCAATTTGCATCAAATCTGTACAGGGTGAGTCAAAACACAAAATTATCTTTTTTGAATATTAATTTTACCTTCCACAAGAAAAATTTTCATATTTTTTAAACCTCCATAACGAAATGAGTTTAAAATTTTAATAATTGCATTTAAAAGCCATGCAGGAACTTTTACAATTTATAATTTTTTTAAGAAAATTTATAGAATTTTCTATATTGAACGTAAGTTAAATCTATTCCTAAAAAAATCATTGCTGGCGTAACAAGGCCACAAGTAAGTAAAACGTATCCACTCGATAAGGTATTATAAACAGCAATAAAGTAAAAATGATTGGAAGTCAATGGTTTATGAAATATTCAACATCTAATTAATTACGTCTTCAGGAATTTTATTGTAAGAAGGATGTACAGTTATGAAAGCAATTCATATTTTCTTCAATGATTATTTTATAATTACAGGTTTTTTTATTACAGGAAATCATAAGACAGTATTTAATAATAATTTGTTATTTGGTACGAGCATAAAACCAGGCA